CCAAGGCCGCGGCGGAGAAGGCCAAGAATGCCCAGGCCTCGGACTCTACTTCTTCGGCCTCTGATGCCGCTCGGCGCACGGCTGAAGGTGAGCAGCATCTGATTGCCACCGTGCTGGCCCAAGGGTCCGGCCCCCCCGTTGCTTCTGCTGCTCTTCCGCCGCCGGTCGTCCCTACGAAGGCGGTTTCTCAGAAGGGGGAGGAACAGGCCCCCCAGAAGAAGCACAAGAGGGGCCGCGAGGCTGCCTCCACCGGGCCCCTAGTTGAAGACGTCGGCTCTCTGCCCCTGAGCCGTCCGGCGGAAGAACTCTGGAGGGAGCTGGCCCTCAAGGCCGGCCTTGAGCTGCCTCCCCGCTCGTCTTCTGAGGCGACCAGCGCTGCTCTGGCAGCTGCTCTTCAGGTATTCCTTCATTACTAGATCTGGGCACATCTCCTATTTGCTGTTCATCTTCTGACCATATGCTTTTAATTTTCCTTCTGTTGCCCAGTCTGAGCTTCTAGTTCTTCAGGCTGAAGCTGCCAGGGAGGCCGACCTGAGAGAGGTCAAGGCCAAAGCCGATGCCGCCGTCACTACAGCCCGGGAGGCCGCCCGTTGAGCCGAGGCGGAGACTGCGGCCAAGGAGAAGGAGATCACCGTTCTGCGGGCTGAATCCCGCAACCAGCTGGTCAGCCTTGAGAAAGCTGGCTTCAAGCTTGTTCCGGTGCACCCCGTCGCGAAGGACGCAGACCCGGAGTGGCTGGTTGACACCTCCGGCTATCGGAACAACGGGGAGTTCATGGACTCTGCTGAGGATTACTGCGCCGGGGCCTTCGGTCATGTGTTCTCTACAGTGCTGTCGAAGTTACCGCCTCGGCAGCGTCTGACGTGCAGTGTCCGGATCCTGGAGAGCTCTCCCCTGACGCACAAGTTCCTTTATGAGGTCGACGACAGTACCTTCGCCGCCGGGTACAATGAGGGGGTCAAGGCCACTCTCCCCATATTCGCCAAGCTGCAGGGGGCTGATTTTGATTTGGCTGCAAATACCGACGACGACCTGCTGATCCACGCTTTGGGGAAGCTAGGGAGGGACCGGCGTCGGGAAGAGGCCTAGGCCAGGGGAGAGATCCCGGAGCCGCCGACCCCCGAGCCTGAAGTTGAGGAGGAAGAGCTGAACCAGGAAGCCAGCCAGCCGAGGTCCCCTTTTCTTGTGTAATATAGCTTGTAATTCCCTTGTTTTGAACTTGTAATGCCCAGCCGTTAGAGCTGAAGAATATACACACTTTTTGCCCATAATTGTCTCTACGTTCGTGATCTTTTACTTCATTATTTTCCTTTGCTCTATCGTCGGTTGTGTGGAATCTCCTTCGGGGCCTTGTTGTACTTTGATCTTTTGAGATAAAGTTAAAGTCCGCGAGGACGTTCATATCGGTCCTCTATTTTTTTTGTTTGGGACAACATGCGCTCTCTTGCCATGTTCCCGTATCCGCTCGAATGCGCGGACGTACTGCGAAAGCTCGTCGCCGATGCCTGCATGTTGGCAAGCGCGAGCATGTCACTAACGTGCTCCCCAGAGCCAGCACTTGATAGAGACGTTCGTCCCGTATGCGTAAACGCACTATCCATGCTGCGCGTGCTCAAACTAGGCCTTGGAGACGTTCGTCTGGCCCCAATGTTTCTGTGGTGCAAAGTATGGAAATACGAACGTATCCTGTTGACGCGTACGTCTCCCATTAGCTGCCGATATTAGGCTCGGCCGAAGGATGCGGTCTCTGGGCGTCTCTAGATCCCTTGGAGCTGATAAACTTCCCTGGCAGGACGTTTGTGGCATCGATCCAGATTTCCATTCGATGATCTCTACCGACTCAGTACTCTCGAGATTGGCCATGCCAACCTCATCCCTGGCATAACGGTGTATGACACATCCTCCCAAACAATGCCTCACACGGGCATGCCGATTCCTGCCTAAATAGTGTTGTTATAGCCAAACTCCATAGGCACTAAGCTATTGTCCCAATTTCATTGGAACACCAACGTACAAGACATCAATGTATCATTATATCCTACAACATCTGTATGCCCATTTTGGGTTGCCCCTCTGTCTGTGGATGCGAAAGCAATACCTAAATTCAACCTCGTTCCCATAGATTCCTGGAATGTCTGTGGTAGACCTACCACGAATTCCATAGACACATGTTTCCATTTCCATTCGGATATCCTCCACCAGCCCCGCTAGCATGCATCCTCGGACCTTCTTGAATGAGGTAGATCTCTCCTCAAATCTCCCACCGAGGTGCCATTAGTAGATACTTCCAATTGAGCTCCCAATGACCTCAAGTCGGTTAACAATGCCTCAGATGAACTCTTCATATTAAAGGCAATGTCCACGACATTTGCTTTACCTGGATGGTAATCAGTCACTAGGTGGTAGTCCTTTATTAACTCCGCCCATCGTTGTTGTCTCTTGTTTAGCTCTTTTCGAGTAACCACGTACTTAAGCTCTTGTGGTCAGTGTATATATGGCACGTCTCTCCATAGAGATAATGTCTCCATATTTGTGGCGCAACACCACTACATACTCCCAATTCTAAATCATGAGTAGGATGATTTACCTCATGTTCCTTCGACCGACGTGAAGCATAGGCAATCACCCTCCCCAACTGCGTCAACACTCATCCACGTCCCTGAGTGCTCGCGTTGCTATAGACATCGTACTCCATACCTTGCTTTGGTAGGGCAAGTACCGGTGCCTTGATCAACCTCCTCTTCAATTCAAGGAAACCCTTCTCACATCGGCCATCCCATACAACTTAGCCCCCCTCCCGAGTGAGCTTCGTCAATGGCGATGACAAAACTGAGAACCTTCCCACAACTTTCTATAGTAGCCCGCTTGCCCAAGGAAACTGTGGATCCCCCTCATGTCCTTGGCCCTCTCCCGTTATGTGATAGCCTCAATCCTCTTGTTCTCCACGGCAATGCCTGATCTGGAAACCACGTACCCGGGAAAGCCAATCTCTTAAAGCCAAAACTCACGCTGAGAGAACTTGGCGTAAAGTTGCTTCTCTCGTAGTGTTTCCAGAACCAGGACCAAGTGCCTCTCATGTTCTTCTTCACTCCTTGAGTGAATTAAGATGTCGTCTATGAACACGACCACAAATTTGTTCAAGTATTTATGGAATACTCGGTTCATCAAGTCCATGAATGCCGTTTGGGCGTTTGTTAGCCTAAACGGCATAACCAAGAACTCAAAGTGACCATACCTCGTGCGAAAGGCACTTTTCGGTACTTTCCTTGATCTTCAGTTGGTGATATCCCGGCCTCAAGTCAATCCTTGAGAATACTATTGCTCCACGGAGTTGGTCAAACAAGTCATCAATCCTAGGTAGAGATACATATTCTTGATGGTAGCCTTGTCCAATCGTCGGTAGTCAATGCACGTTCATAGGGTACCATCTTTCCCTTTCACAAAAAGAACTGGTGCTCCCTACGGTGAATGTCTAGGTCTAATGAACCCGTTATCCAATAGTTCTTGCAATTGGGTTTTTAATTCGTTAAGTTCAGCAGGTGTCATCCGATATGGCGGTATAGAGATTGGTTCGGTACCCGGCTCGACCTCGATCACAAATTCAATCTCCCTGTCAAGTGGAAGCCCCGGTAGGTCTTTAGGGAAGACATCCGGGTACTTACAAACCACCCTCACATCATTGATGTTCGTTTCCTCTTTGGTTTTGTCAACCACGTATGCTAGATATGCGTGGCATCCCTTTCTCATCATAATTCTCACTCTCACGGCGGATATGATACAGCTATTTGATCTCCCTCGATCACCCTCGAAGCGTAAGGTCTCCCTATCATTGCCTTCGAGTTCTAGAACCTTCGTGTAGCAATCTACCCTAGCATGGTTCCTTTCTAGCCAATTCATCCCTAGGATTGCATCGAATTCAACCATGCTCAGCGGTACGAAGTCACACGTCAAGGTTTGACCATTAACTTCCACCTCACAAGATAGATAGTAACAAGTTCTTTCCACGTCATCCCCCCAGTGGTGTTGATACCACTAAGGTTGGCATCAACGGTGCAGATTGCACTTCCAATTTCTTGGCAAACGCTTCACTCACAAATGAACGTTACGCCCCGGTATCGATAAGGATTCGCGCATACTTCCCATTAATCTTTAGTGTCCCTACATTCATGAACCATGTAAGACATCCTTCCTACCCTCCCTACTCATTTATAGAGGGTTAAAATGTTCACACACACGTTAGGGATCAAGAAAAGGTCTTAACGTCGTAAAACGGTGCGAAAAATCGGTTTTCGGCAATCTGGGTGCCAGGCACGGCGTGCCTGGGGGTAGGCACGATCGTGCCTGGCTTGGAAAAAGCCTAGGAAGCTACTGCCTTGTAGGCACGATCGTGCCCGGGCAAAAATAGCCCGAAACTGCCCGAAAACCTCCCGGTTCGACCCCAAAGCTTCGTGCAATGGTCCCAATGACTAGTAACCTCAATTTATGGACTAATCATGGATAAAACACAAGTATACAAGAGGTTATACCTGCAACGGAATCCGGGTTCGCTCGAGCCTCCGCCTCCGTCATCGTATAGACTCTAGCGTGAGTCCTCCCTTGATTCACGGACGGCGCGTTGCTCACACTTGCTCCGCCATGTTCCTTGCTTGCTTGAGAGGACCCGGCTTGACTCCGTATGCCTATAGTCGTACTACTTGAGCCCAAAGTTTGGTCGGGTACAAGTTGCGGGCAATTCGCATTTGTGTGCCCTATCTCTCTGCATCGGTAGCACCTAGGAGGGTCCCAACACTTACCCGGGTGGTGCTTCTTACCATTTGTGCACTTAGGTACTCTCGAACCTTTTGACCTCGAGTTCTGGCCACCCGTGTGACACCGCACCCGAACGTCCTTGAAAATTTCATTCTTAAATTCAAAGTGATGTATTGAATTTCCAATTTCAAAACAATGGAAGAACGATTAATATTTTATGTAGTACATGATTGAATATTGTATTGTTCGAACCCGTATTCTTTTGTAATTTTCATCATGTATATTATTGAGATGAGCCTACACATATTGGAGATCAATAATGTGATGTAGGAAGTTGACTTGTTCTAAATAAGTTAGGATGAGTACAAAAAGACATCTTTGACAAAAGATAAAACAATAGAACCCATCTTTCCATTTTTGGAAGTATTGATAGATATTTTGGACCCCAAATTGAATGGGATCATTTGGGAACCATCCCACATGACCTTGGTACCTGCAAGACAAAGGAAAATGGGTGAGACAACTATGTGGGGCGGACTTTTGACTCATGAACTACAACATTACAAAAAGGAAATAAAAGAGGAGGTCCACACCATGTTTGATTGCAATCTAATACCCTACCCTTCTTTTTGTGAACCACATGCTCTCTTAGCGTGATTGAGGCCTCCTAATACACTCCCCCTACACCCCATTCGAACTCCCAAGATAAGAGAGAAAGAGAGAGCCACATACTCCAAGGGAGAGGTAAAGAGAGAAGCTGGCCGCAGGACTCGTTTTCCAGAAGATAGGGCTACTTGTTTGATCCATAACTTGAGCTTCACTCGTCCAAATAAGGCGTATGATATACCAAAAGAAAGCTCTCAAGACGAGGAATCCGTGAAGGTCTGGTTTGCAGAAATCGGAGTAGTGGAAGGCTTCCAAACCGTCCGAGCAAAACACAACCTCGCAGGAGAGGATTTACTTCTAAAGTGAATTTTAACCCCAAAACATTACTTTTCATTCTCCAAATGATATGAACGATTGGTGGGACTATTATACACTAATTCAAGTGTATAATATGTCCTTATAAAGTTATTTTATGTGTGTAAAGGTTGGATACTAACCTAGAGCAAATCTTGGAAAACTAGGAAACGAGTTAACCGGAAAACACCCATTCTAGGGGCTGTTTTCGTATCAACGATTAAGGGTTGAATTAGCACTTTGAGGAGGCTGTTTAACACTCATATTTGAGCAAGGAATTAGTTCCAAATCCACCTTGACCAAAGCTTTGACCATTGGACCAAGAAGGGAAAGTTTAAAGCTCAATTGAGGTGAGGATTGACATCTAATTGCTTACAACTTGTAGGTTAAGCATGAGATTACCTAAATGCTTAAATCATTATTTTTCATGGATTATGATGATTATATATTGATGAAATATTGATATAGTTGCCAAAGAATGAAATTTGAAATGATTTGAGAACGTATGGATAATATGAGATTAAATGAGTATAAATGAACTATTTTTGCGAAATAGGTATTTTGCTCATGTATGAATTATTTGGATACATAAATGAATATTTGTGTATTGAGATTGAATACTTAAGTTGCTGCTACATAATTATAATTATGTAGAGAATTACAAGTAAAGAGGATAGTGGTATGATAACAATAATCTTAATAGTATTGAAATACTAGCTAGTGATTATTGGAACTTGTTGATTAAATTGATCCTAGGGATTGGATTGTATGAATGGTACTTGAATATAGTTCAAGTGTATATAATAACTTAGTACGGAACTAAGGTTAAGTTGTGGGAAGTCTTTAAGGATGACCCATGGTAGTTTATTGATATGTCAATTCTAGGCATAGGGTTGCTTCAGAATTGGACCTTAATGCATGGTGATGTGGTAGAGCCGAGCTCTAGAATGCATGTAAGGTGTAGACTTGTAGTCTATGTATTGTATAGCTAGAGCCGAGCTCTAGGACTTGCGTGGTGATGTGGTAGAGCCGAGCTCTAGAACGCAAGGTAAGGAAATTGACCCGAGGTATATGAATTGTATGGTGATGTGGTAGAGCCGAGCTCTAGAATACAATGTCATGTACTAGGGTTGGACTCTAGGAGTTGTCGTGGCTTATAGCCACGGGGTTGGGAATGGTGATTTCCAAATGAAAACGGGCCCACGGGCCGACTACTTGACTTTTATATAAAGTAAGTATATTTTTAAACGGGGTAACTTAGGGTTACAATCATAATGTACTATCACCCTACTTGAGGGTCTTGTGTTTGAAATACTTGTTGTATATCTATTAGATGCCTGCCACACCATTACTTTATAGCCGTATAGAGTACTGACCCCTTCGGGGGCGTCCCACCACCATTTCAGGTTGAGGCTAGAGCTTGCTTCCTGTGCTCGTTGATCGAGTGATTCCTTGGAGAGAAGACTTGGTTCGTGCTTCCTCCATTCTGTTTTTAAATAATATTAAACTTGCTCATGGACATTTTACTATAGAGCCTGCGTGCTCATGAATAGCCCGGTGTGGCCTTTTTGTTTTAAACAATGTTTTCCGCTGCGTTATGAATTACTTATTATGTTTGTTTATGGATGTTATACGTGTGAATGATATTCATGACGCCTTGTATAATATGAATGTGTTGGACTGCGGTTGACTATTCGTATTGTACGGCGGGTTGTTGACGTGTCCGGGTAGGTCCGGGGCGTGACAACCCGAGCCTCGACTCCTCCCAAGCGATAATGTGTGTGCCCTTAAGGTTTTGTCACCCTCAACATTTGTCCTCCTAGAATGTCCTTGAGGGTCGTGGTCTCCCCATTTTCTTTTCCTTCCTAATGGTGTGTCCTTAGCTCGCCTAGCTTGGCGTTTTTGTATAAAGCCTTGCACGTTCACGTTGAAGCCAATCTATGACCATGCCCATTTGTTCAATGGGTGCATTATCAAGGTCCTCATCACTCAATTCATCTCCTCCGTCATCCGGAGCCTTGGGTGGTTCAGTTTTACCCGTACAAGCTGACTCTTCTTTGGTCTTAACATGATCATCACTCACGATTTGAGCTTCTAGAATTTCGTGAACCATTGGTACTAAGGACTCTTCTCGGTTGGCATGCCCGGTTCCACCCGGTGCAAACCCTTTCGAGTTCTTCTCTCTATTCATAATGTCATCATCACCTCCCATCGCTGAAAGAAGTATTTAGAATGAGTCATTAGACTCGTTTCAAATGTCAACTGACAGATAGGCACTTAAGAGATCTCTTGGGCCAAGTCACCGCCATACCAATTGTTAAGGGCGCCATCTTAACAATTAGAGACCTTGCAACTCAAACACCAAAAGTTCTTAAGTACAAAACATTTTTGCTCATGGTTTTCAAAAATCATTTTGAAAAGAGAATTTTGAGACTTCATTATGAAGTTTATGGACTAAGGCTCTGATACCAACTTAATTGTCACGCCCCGGACCTCCCCGGATAGTCAATACGACTAGCCGTACAATACGAATAGTCAACCGCAGTCCAACACATTCATATTATATAAGGCGTCTTGAATATCATCCACACACATAACATCCATAAACAAACATAATAAGTAATTCGTAACGCAGCGGAAAACATTGTTTAAAACAAAAGGGCCACACAGGGCTATTCATGAGCACGCATGCTCTATAGTAAAATATCCATGAGCATGTTTAATATTGTTCAAAACAGAATGGAGAAAGCACGAACCACGTCTTCTCTCCAAAGGATCACCCGGGCAACGGGCACAGATAGCAAGCTCGAGCTTCAACCTGAAATGGTGGTGGGACGCCCCCGAAGGGGTCAGTACTCTATACGGCTATAAAGTACTGGTGTGGATGGCATCTAAGGGATATACAACAAGTATTTCAAACACAAGACCCTCAAATAGGGTGATAATACAATATAGTGGTAACCCTAAGTTACCCCGTTTTAAAAATATACTTACTTTATATAAAAGTCAAGTAGTCGGCCCGTGGGCCCATGTTCATTTAGAAATCACCATTCCCATTCCCCGTGACTATAAGCCACGACAATTCATAAGTTCATCATGTTACCATTGCATAGCAAGGGCTCGGCCCAACTACATTTCTATGCAATCCTTTATGTCAAGTACATCCTATCACATTTGCATAGCAAGGTCTCGGACCAACTACATTTCTATGCAAATCACAATTTACATGGCAAGGTCTCGGACCAACTACATTTCCATGCAAATCACAATTACATCCTATCACATTTGCATAGCAAGGTCTCGGACCAACTACATTTCTATGCAAATCACAATTTACATCCTATCACATTTGCATAGCAAGGTCTCGGACCAACTACATTTCTATGCAAATCACAATTTACATGGCAAGGTCTCGGACCAACTACATTTCCATGCAAATCATAGAGTCCGGCTCTAATTCCTCATTATAGTCAAATTCCTAAGCAAACCTATGCCTAGAATTGGCATATCAATAAACTACCTTGGGTCATCCTTAATGACTGCCCATAACTTACCCTTAGCTTCATACTAAGTCATTTTATACACTTGAAGTACATTCAAGTGCATTCCATACAATCCAAAACTTAGGATCAATTCTATCAACAATTTCAAATAATCATTAACTAGTATTTCAATACTATTAAGATTATTGTCATCATACAAATATCCTCATTTTGTAATTCTCTACATATTTATAAGTATGTAGCAGCAACTTAAATATTCAACTTCAATACATAAATATCCTTTTATGTATCCACATATTTAATACATGAGTAAAATCCCTATTTCACAAAATAGTTCATTTATAACTCATTTAATCTAATATTATACATACATCCTCAAATCATTTCCAATTTCATTCTTTGGGAACTATATCAATATTTCATCAATATTTAATCATCATAATCCATGAAAAATTATGATTTAGGCATTTAGGTAATCTCATGCTTAACCTACAAGTTGTAAGCAATTAGATGTCAATCCTCACCTTAATTGAGCTATAAACTTTTCCTTTTTGATCCAATGGTCAAAGCCTCGGCCAAGGAAGTTTGAGAACTGATTCCTTGCTTAGAAATGAGTGTTAAACAGCCTCCTCAAGGTGCTAGCTCAACTCCTAACCGAAGACACGAAAACAGTCCCTAGAACGGGTGTTTTCCGACAAATTCGCTTCCTAACCCTTCAAGGTTTTGTCTAGGTTAGTATCTAACCTTTCCAACAATTAAAGTCACTTTATAATAACATTTTATACACTTCAACCAGTGTATAATAGTTCTTCAATCATTTATATGATTTAGACAATAGAGAGGAAGGTTTTGGATTCAAACTTACTTTGAGTACAAAAACGTATTCTGCGAGGTTGCGTTTTGTTCGGACGATTTGGAAGTCTTCCACTACTCCGTTTGCTGCAAAACGAACCTTCACGGATTCCTCTTCTTGAGATCTTTCTTTGGGAACCTCACACGCCTTATTTGGATAAGTAACGCTCTAGATATGAACCAAACAAGCAAACCAACGCACTGGAAAACGAACCTGCGGCAGCTTCCCCCTTCTCTTGCTTTCTTGTTTGTGTGGCTCTCTCCTTCTCCCTTATCCTTGGGAGTTCGAATGAGGGGATTAAGGGAGTGTATAAGACCCTTCAATAAGGGTGGATAAGTTGTGTGGAGTGAAATAAATTGGTATGGTCTCCATGAGATGTTTTTAGACATGGGTGGGTCTCACTTTTGATCTCTTTGTCATAAGATGTCTCTTTGTACTCATTCTAATTTATTTAGAACAAGTCAACTCTCTACATCATATTATTGATCTCCAATATGTGTATGATCATCCCAATAATTTACATGATGAATATTATAGAAGAAAAATCTACTCCCGTTATTTAGCTCAATAATGCCAAAGATGGGGCCGTAGGCATTTGTATTCTTCTCTAATCATTCTATCACTTATTTTGACATTTTTCATCCATATTATTGGACTACTAGCCACGTGGGTCATCCTCGAGTGGGTCTTGGACGCCATTCTCGAATACTTGCTATTTTTTAGCAGGTTGGGCCCGAAGTAATGTTTGGGCCGCCCGTCCTTCCTCAATTTGTCTTGAAAGGTTATATATCTTTATTTGGGAAATGTTGGGCTCTTATATTCATTAGTAAGGCCCAAATACGTATTTGCAAACCCGACACTAATATACGAGTTTGAACAGTACCATATTCAATCATGCACTACATAAAACAATAATCGTTTTACAATTGTTTGGGAATCGGAAATTCAATACATAAACTTTGAATTTTTAATTGAATTTTCGAGGACGTTCGGGTGCGGTGTCACACCGACGTTCGAGCGTCACTTCGGGCTCCTTTCGATCCGGAGGCGGCTGGCTTTGATCTGCTGTTGGTGGACGCCCATGTGGGGGCACTTGAGCTGCTGAAGGAGCTTGGGGAGCAGGAGGCGGCCGAAGCCAAAGAGAAGGCCAAGCAGATCCCCTTCAAGGCCCCAACTCCTGACGTTGATCAGCAGTGATTCTCCGTTCATTGTCTTGTACTTACATTGTTTACATTGTATCTTACACATTGTATTTTTCCGGTCATTAGTACCGAAGAATAAACTCATTCTTGCTCCATGTTCGTCTAGCATTCTTTTTTTTTGGAGTCTTTTATCGGTCTTTGTTCTTCCCATGTTTCGTGATTACTGGTCTCCTGGTTTCGCAGGAGACGTTCGTCATCCCCACTCTGAGAAGAAACATGTTTATCCGCGTTGGGATTCCCTATCTCCGTTCGTCCCCAGTCGCGAATTACTAGTCTTCTGGCTTCGCAGAAGACGTTCGTCATCCGTCCAATAAGGGGGAGGAACTGGTATACCCTGTCAGGGTTCCCGTTTCTTCGTTCGTCCTTGTCGGGACCCTATTAACCTTCTTACTTCGAAGAAGACGTTCGGTATTCACCGATCGCAAGGAGGACACTGGTTTACCCTATCGCGGGTTCCCTGCTTCGTCGTCCCATGCTCGTGGCCCTACTAGCCTTCTGCTCTGGCAGAAGGTGTTCGTCGATCCACGGGAAATGGGAGGAACTGGTTTATCTTGCCGAGGTTCCCTTTGGTTTGTCTAGCCCCCCCCCCCCCCCACGTTCCTACTGGCCTTCGTGTCAGGAGACGTTCGTCATACGCGGCGAAGGAAGATCTGACATACCTCATCAAGACTCCCTCTCTCATAGGTGCTTGACTCCCCTTCTCCTCATCTCTCTCTTTTGTTTTTCTTTTTTTTTTTGAGGAGGACATCTTTTCAATAGCACTTCGGCTTCAATCTCTATAGGAAGTAAAAGATACGAAGGAATTCTTTAGCATAGAGGAGATGATCGGTAATGTTACACGGTGCTTCGACCAAATATGACAAAAAATGATCTATCTCTAACTACTGGTAGAATTTCTTCAGGTGTTCGACGTTCCAGATCCCATCGTGGTTCCCCTCCAAGGTATGGAGGAGGAACGTCCCCTGGTTGTATCTTCTCATGACCCTGTACGGCCCTTCCCAATTCTTGGCCATCTTGCCACCTTCGAGTGGTTTGTTCTTCTCTCTCTTTCTGAGTACGAGGTCCCCAGCTTCAATTTCGCGGATCTTCACCGCCTTGTTGAAGTATCTTTGTGTGGTTCGGTGATATTCTTCCATGCGACGAGCTGCTAGGTCCCTCCGCTCCTCGATGAAATGGAGCTCCGCTCGTAGGTTGGCCTCGTTATCCTCCGGTTGGAAATGCTTCGTGCGATGTGTGGGCACTAGCACCTCCGTTGGCACCTTGGCCTGGAACCCGTATGCCAAGGCAAAAGGTGTCTCGTCGGTTGCCATCCTTGGGGTCGTCCTGTACGTCCAGAATACGTAATTGAGCTGCTCCGGCCAGGTGGACGCGTAATCTTCTAATTTCTTCTTGATCCCATCCATGATGGTTCGGTTCATGTTCTCCACCTGGCCGTTGGCCTGTGGATAGGCCACCGAATCCTTGGAGTGCCTGATGCCCCACTTTGTCAGGTATGCCTCAAATCCCTTGCCGACGAACTGCCGGCCGTTGTCGGTGATGATTTGCTCTGGAATCCCGAAGCGACATATGACATTCTGCCTGAGGAACCTCTGACATTGATATTCAGTGATGGAGGCAAGCAGCTCGGCTTCTACCCACTTTGTGAAGTAGTCAATCGTCACAATAACAAACTTCCTTCCGCCGGTCGTCGTCGGGAGAGGGCCCAAAAGGTCTATGCCCCATCTGGCAAAAGGTAATGCAACCGTCATTGGAGTGTAGAAACTTGCCGGCCGTCCGGGGACAGGAGCATACTGCTGGCACACTGCACATTTTCGAGTGTGATTGAAGCAATCCTGTTGGATGGTCGGCCAGTAGTACCCCTGTAGAATGATTTTCCGGGCCAAGGTGCGGGGACCCTGGTGGCTGGAGCAGATGCCTTCATGTACCTCTTCGATGACGGCCACTGCCAAGCTCGGCGGGACACATCTCAAGTATGGCCCACCGAACGTCTTTTTGTAAAGCTGTCCGTCGATGAGTTCGAAGTTGGGGGCACGTCTCTTCACCCAGGCTGCCTTTCCGCTGCTGCCGTCATTCTCAGGCTCGGGGAGCGTCCCATCCCTGAGGTAGTCGGCGATCTCCTTTGACCAATTTGGTTCGGCGATGGAGATGGCCTCCACCCGGATAACGTCCGTCGCTGGCGCTGAGAGCGTTTCCTGCCTGACGAAGCCCCTAATGTGCCGGGGGATAGCCGTTGCCGGGTCATTGGTCGGGGGATTGCCTAGCTTGGATAATATGTCAGCCTCGACATTCTCCACTCGTGATACCTGCTCAATTATTACCTGTTCGAACTGCGCGGTTTGTTCCTCCGCGAGTTCCTTGTAAACCTTCATTCTTTCCTCCCTGGTTTCGGCCGTCCCATTCATCTGGGTTACCACCAACTGGCTGTCCATCCTCACCTTTAGATGGGTTGCTCCGAGTGCCTTCGCACATTTCAGTCCTGCAATCAGTGCCTCGTACTCAGCCTCGTTGTTGGTGACTTTGAACTCGAACTTCATGGAGTAATAGGCCTTGAAACCCTCAGGTGAAGTGATCACCGCCCCTCCGCCACAACCTCGCGCACTTGAGGCCCCATCGGTGTACATCTCCCACCAGTTGCTGAAATCATTGCCGCCTTGGGTATCGTCCTCGGTGCGCGCAGTACATTCGGCAATGAAATCTGCCAGCGCCTGCCCCTTGATCGTCAGCTTCGGCTTGAACTCTATATTGTACTGGCCGATCATCAGGGACCATTTGGTTATCCTCCCGCTGGCCATGAGGTTCCTGAGGATTGTGGCGAGAGGTTGTGTTGTGTATACTGTCACTGGGTGTTCCTGGAAGTACAGTGCCAGGCGTTTGATGGATGCTATCAAGGCGAGGACCGTCTTCTCCATCAGTGTGTATCTGGTCTCTGGGCCGTTCAGTGCCTTGCTCACAAAATAGATTGGTCGCTGAACGCCCTCTGCCTCCTTTAGTAGTACAGCACTCACGGCCAGGTCTGCTACTGCCAGGTACATGTATAATTGCTCCCCTGGGTCCGCTTTGGTGAGGACGAGCGGAGAGGAGAGGTATGCCTTGAAATCTTCAAAGGCAGCCTGGCAGTCCGGTGTCCACTCGAAGGGATTCGCCTTTTTCATGATCTGAAAGAAGGGGATCGCCTTGTCTGCCAGTTTCGACATGAACCGGCTCAGGGCAGCCAGCCGTCCAGTAAGCCGTTGTACGTCCTTCAGGTTCTTCGAGGCTTCCATGTCAACTATCGCCTTCACTTTCTCCGGGTTAGGCTCGATCCCGCGCTCGCTCATCATGTAGCCGAGGAACTTGCCGCCCTTGACAGCAAAAGCACACTTCTTCAGATTGAGCCTCATGCTAGCCCCCTCCATGATGGTGAAGATCCTCTCCATATCCCGGACGTGGTCTTCCTTCTTCCTGCTGTTAATCAGGATGTCGTCCACGTAAGCTTCCATGGTCTTGCCCAGTACGTCTTTGAACAACATCCCGATCATCCTCTGGAAGGTGGCCATGGCATTCCTCAGGCCGAACAGTATGACCACATAACAGTACACGCCGTCCGCCGTGACGAACGCCGTTTTCTCCGCATCGTCCGGGTGCATGAACACCTGGTGGTATCCTCTGAAAGCATCCATGAAGCTCAGCAACTCGCAGTCGATCCTCAGCACCGGATATGGATCCATCGGACAGGCCTTGTTGAGGTCCGAGTAATCGACGCACATCCGCCATGTGTCGCCTTTTGGGGCTAATACCACATTGGCCAACCACTCCACGTGGATGACCGGCCGGATGTGCCTGATGCTGAGGAGCGTAGTAGCCTCCTTCTTGATGAAATCCCGCCGTTCGGCTGCCATGTATCTCTTCTTCTGTTGGACGGGCTTGGCATCCGGCCGTACGGCAAGTCGGTGGCATATGAGGTTCGGGTCAATGCCTGGCATGTCCTCCGGCCCTCTGGCAAATAGGATCTTGAATTTCCGGAGGACGGCTATGACTCCCTCCTTGACCTCAGGCTCAAGGTCGGCGCCTATGGATACCTTCCTGTCCGAAGGGTCGTCCAGTTCCACTTCCTCGAGCAGGGCAGGTGGTTCCAGACGAGCGTCAAAATCGGCTTGTCTGGCCTTTTCAGAAATGCTGTTGACCCGGGCTTCCCGCTCGTTGAACCTTTCCATGGCCTTTGTGTAGCAGGCCCTGGCCATATGTGGGTCCGTGCGGGCTACCCCCACGCCAGTTTCAGTGGGGAATTTGATGCATGAGTGCCGCACGGAGCATATGGCCTCAAGATCTTCCAAACCGGGCCTCCCTAGAATTGCGTTGTGAGCGCATTTCAGGCGGACCACGACGAACGTCATCCGGATGCGGGTGGTGTGAGGTCCATCCCCGATCTCCACGGGGAGGCCGATGGTACCCTCCGCGTCGATGCAGTCCCCTGTGAAGCCAGAGAGAGGAGTGCGCAGGGGGGCCAGCTGATCCTTCCTCAGCTTCATCCCTTCGAACGCCTCCCAGTAGAGGACGTTCACGCTGCTTCCAGTGTCGACCAGGACGCGGCGGACGATCGCATTGTTGATATCCATGCTGATCACCAACTCATCCCTGTGCGGGGCCGGTGACATTGGTAGGTCGGCCGGCCCAAAGGTGATGGCCTCCACTTTGTTCTTTTTAGTGGGGGGAGCTGATATAGAGCCCACATAGAGGGATCTCTCAAATTTC